TTTTGGTCACTTGCTATTGAAAGATATTATCCACCCAGTCCCCAAATTAGTTTTCACGAATCATTCTGTTTATGATAGTCATCAGATTGCAAATACTTGTTTTATGCTTGTGTTTTCCTCTTTATTGTAAGCTCCCTGCAAGTAGAGACCATAACTGCTTTTGTTCATTGTTCACCCCCTTTGGTCCCTGGCATAGCTTCTGGAACCTAGTGAGTATTTAACAAGTATATGGGGAAATACATTGCAATATTTTATTTTTGAAATTTATGATAAGATAAATCAACTGCCTTCTATATTCCATTAACATTCAAATTACAGTTCTTGGGTCAGCAGCTTCAGTGTCACCTGGGAGCTTGTTAGAAGTGGAGATTCCCAGGCCTTACCCCAGAGCTGCTGAATCCGAATCTATATTTTAACATCTCCAGCGATTTGTATGAACATTAAAGCTTGAATAGCACTGTCTTGCATTCCATTTCTGAAATCAAATAATATGTCTAAACTCTACATTAAGATTTGGAGCTTTCCTTTTAAATAATAATAAATAATAACAGCTGTTATACATAATAAGTGCTTACTATGTGTCAGGCACTATACTAAGAGCTTTATTTGGAATGTGTCTTTCAATCTTTGGAACAACCATTTAGGGGTGGAACCATTATCAGCCATCAGCCCTTTGAAGAACATAAAAGTGAGGCTTAAAGAGGTTAAAAACCTCATTGGAGCCAAGATAGAGATTTAAATACTTGGTGTAACAAATCCTGAGGGCTTGGGGTGGCTCTGAAGTAATGTTTTCTTGGAGCTGTACGTATAGGATTCTAACACGTGGATGCTAGACATCACTGGCTGTCATCCTGGAAACTCAGGGCCCTTCCAGGACGGCGAGTGGGCCGTTATCTCTTGGCTGAAAGGTCAGGCAGCCTAGTGTGCAGGACCCCAGACTAGAGTCAATAATGCCCATTTCATTTTTAAACTGACTTCTTTTCTCTAGGCCTCAGTTTCCTCATCTGTCAAAGGTGAAGGTTTGGGATTAGATGATTGAGAAACCTCTTTTTGGTCTTATATTTTATCACTAAAAATCACAAGTGTTTAATAGTATAGAAGTTGAAAATGTGGGCTTTGAAATTAGTGTTGTGTTCAATTCTGTCTTTGCAGTTAAAAGCTGCATAACCTTGAGCAAGTTACTTAATATCTCTCTATTTCCATCTCTCTGTATTTCTGTGAATAAAAGTGATATCTTTTTATTTTCCTGGGTGCTAGAACTGAAATTGGATGCATCTTACATTTGACGGCATGTCATAGGTTGGTTGGTAGCATTGTTTTATTCTTAGGGATGCATAAATCAATGGTGCTTCTTGTAAATGATAGCCTTTTCGAGTCAATGAATGGCGGTAATGAAATACTTAACAGAGTTGCCATGTGAATTAAATGAGATATGCATATAACTACTTATAACATAGCAAATTCTCAGTAAGTGCCAGTTGTTATCCTCATCAACAGCAATAGCAGCATGCCTTTTTTTCTGGCGGAAGAGACACTGGTTTCATATTTATTGGTACATGACATATTTTAAACACATCCTTCCTTCCTCCAAGACTCTCCTTTGTGACATTGTTTAAAACATGGTTCTTGTCCTCTTCACTTTTTATATAGATGAGGTACCAGTCTATAGAATAATTTGGGCTTAGAAATCCTGATTTATGTATCACTAAAACAAAAAGGATGAAAAGAGAAACATTTAGTCCCTTGTATATAAGACAGCATGAGACGGGCTTCATTTCAGAATAGCCTGGGTGTTCTGAGATGGGATTTGCTCTCACTGGTCTCTTGGGCATGCGGCTCCACACTGTGTGTGTGACTGTTACAAGCTTAGCTGTCTCTTTTTGTCCTTCAGCAGGCCTTGAACTTATAGGAATTTGACTGGAAGTAGGGAAAGATACAGAACCTCAATACTACAGAATCTGCTATAAGCCCTTTGGGTGGATTTGACCTGCCATGGCAGGTTTCTGTCAGTTGGGAAAAAAAGAAAGTCCTTAGTTCTTTGGTCATATCAAGGAGTCTCAACTGCCCTCAGGAAGACTTCACAATGAAACAGTTCTGGCAATGGTCTGGTCTAAGGACTGCTGTATTTTTTGGTGAATGAACTTATCCTCTGAATGAATGGATATTGTCCAAGTGCCCACTGCATCAGCTGAAAAGGCTTTGTAGGGGGGAAGAGACAAAAAAGAATGGTGTTTGAATTTAGAAAGATCTGGGCTCAAATCCTGGTTAAGAAAGTCACTTGCCACCTCTGAATCTTAGCTCCTTCACCTGCTACCAACATAGCAAAATAAAGTTTTCTCTATGTGATCAAGGCAAACACTGAATCAGATCCTCCATGTGAAGTCCTTAGCACAGCGTCTGAGCCTGTAGATGGGGGAGCTATCTATCTATCTATCTATCTATCTATCTATCATCTATCTATCTATCTATCTATCTATCTATCTATCTATCTATCTATATCTATCTATCTATCTATCTATCTATCTATCTATCTATCTATTATCTATCTATCTCCATTTATTATCTAATTTTGCAAATCCACGGTATATTTGAAGGAAAATTGTTTTATTCCAAATTCCAGTAGAATCATCATGATGTTCAGAAAATTATGCAAGTATTTAGCCAAGAACTGAAGCAAAACAGCAATAATAGTGTAGACATTCTTAGAGCTTGCTGGGTTTAGAATATGTGATGGTTTAAATGGGAATGTATTTTAAATGATAAAATTCATTTGCTGGAATCACAGCTTTTCCTTCAGCGTAGCAGCCCTTTACATCTTTTTTTTTCTTTTTGGATACTGTAACTAAACTGAACATTTAATTTCTAATAATGCCACCAGACAGAAAGCATAAATCCACCAAAATGCCATCTGTAGAGTCTCATAACCTCTCCAAGCACAGTCTGACTAAAGGACTTTGTAGCTGTCTGTATTTCACCCCCACCTGCCATGTAATTCCAGCTGTGCCCTACAACCTTTATCCACACGGTCTCGCATACCCATCCCTAGATTTAGGCTGCGTTCCCCCTATAAACTGAAAAGGGAGGGGGGTAAGAAAAAGATTTAAAGTTTTGGAAGTAAGTAATTGTGCTTGTCATTCTGATTTCGATCTGCTTTGCCTAGAGAGGCATCAGACATACCAAACTTCAAGCACATATCTGCTGTGACCTTAACTTTTAGGTCTAGTTTTACTCTATTCCTTCTCCTTATTCCTTTCTCTCTATCATTGCCAACTATGGTTTTTCTGTACTGCAGACCACCCAGCCATCCCCTTGCTTAAAGAGCCTTCAGTGGCTGTCTATCAGCCAATGAGACCTGTGGAGTTTTTTCCTTTGAAAAGTCCATGCACGTGCAAAAGTTGGTATAGATTACAGGTTAAGAAACTTTGAACTACGAAATACAGTCTGAAATATGTATTTTTAAGGCATATAAAGGCCCTTGAGATCTGCCTCCTGCCTATGTTGCTATCATCAGCACCCACTGCTGTCATGATTGCACCCGGTTTTGCTACCATACTGAATTGCAGAGTAGTTAGGAATGTGGCCTCTGCCTGGGCTCAGATCCTGCAGTGTTCTAGAAAGGTGTTATTTAGCCTCTGTGTGTCTCAGTTTGCTCATCTCCAAAATGACAGTAAGACAGTATATACCTCATAAGGGCTCTTGAGGATTAAATGAGTTACTACATATAAAGCACTTAGAGTCATACCTGGCACATAATACACACTGAATAAGCATTAGCTACTCAGTTTTACATGTTTGCACATATTACTCTACCTAAAATGCCTCTTCACTTTCTAATCCCAGCGCCTTTTCACTGCTTCTAATTCTTCTTTCAAGACAGAGTCCCAGCTTTCCACACTTGCGAAGGCTGCCATGGTTTTCTGATGTGCCCTCCTACACTAACTCCACCTATTAGTGATGCTGTGTAGTGAATTTGTCATTTACACTTATGCCCATTTGCACATATGCTTCATAAGGTTACCAGCTGTTTTCCTCTTGTTCGCATAGTCCTTGGCTTTTACCGCTGCACCTGCACATGGCAGGCTCCCATCAAGCACTTGCCTAATGAATGAATGAATGAATGACTGCATGATGGAGTGAATGCATGAATACTTTCCCTTGCAGGGGGAGAGAGACTTGCATTTCTTGAACATAGGCTTGTGAGTCCTCAACCACATATTGCTAGCCTGGTGCTTGGCATGTGCTCAAAAATGCTTTCTGAATTGATCTGAAATATGTTCAACCTTGATTAAACAAAATACATTTACCTTTGAGTAAATGATAATTACCTTTTGAGAATCCTGTAGACCTTAAAAACAATGCAATACTACATATTTATTAAAATTTTAAGTTAGAGCTTTCCTCAAAATATGCTCAGAAGTTTGTGGACCAAACAAGAAGAAAATTTCCAAAGCCAGAGAACTTCCTAAGAGCTTTCCTCTTATGAAACTCCCAGCACAGCCCCTGCTCAGCCACCCTGTGCGTGCATCCTGCCTCATCACATGATACATATAAGAACAACACGGACACAACTTCTCTCTGTCTTGGCTGATAAACATTCACCAGAGAACACAAACTTCTCAATAGGGCAGAAAACAGGAAAAAGAAATGAAAAACAAAAGGAAGATTAGTTTGGTTCCGTAACTTTTTTTAAAAAAAGCACGTGAGGCCAAATCACTGGAATCCTGAAACCAAAGATGAAATGAAGCTCCACAGCAAACCAGAATTCTGTTCCTTCAAAGCTTATGCCTTTACAGAAATTCTGCTCTACAGAGGTCAACATCTAATGGGCATGAGATATATTTAGACAGCACAAATTAACTCCTTAAGTATTATGGCAACTCCACATCTGTCTTTGGGAGTACATACGTTAAGGAGCTATTAAAAACAAAAACAAAACAAAACAAAAACTAAATATAACTCAACAGTCCTGAGAGTTTATAATGCAAATACAATTGGTTCACCTGCATCCTTTTGATTCTCTATTTGAAAGAGAGAGCACAACAGGAGAGAAGAGAGAGAGAAACAAGAACACATATGCAGGATTAATGAGCAAGTGGACCAAAATGCCCCCCTCTTATGTGTGACACATGGTATTGGAAGGAAAAGGTTGCCCTTGGATTCCCACCGCCCCGAAGTGTGGGGGCCAGCAAAAAAAGGCTCCTTCACAGAGGTGGAAAATGCTGCACAAATAGAAAATTAGTAAAATCAAGTTTAATGTGAAATCAAGCTATGAAACATACACAAATTCTCCAAGTGACAATTAAGTCATATGTTCTAGCCAGAGCTTAGAGGATAAGGACAAGTCAAAATCTCCAAAGAGAACAAGGAAAAGCTTCCCAGCTTGAGAGAGAATAGAGAGGAGGCATATAAGGTCTAATTTATAGAGAGTGGACCACCTTGTGTGATCTTATACCCACAATAGTTTGGCATTGGAAACATGGAAAAGAAGGCATGATTTTGCCCCAAATGTCCTTTACCTGACACCTAACGCATTACTCCCAGCCTAGCTGCTACCTTTTGATTGTGTACCAGTGACAAGCACTTTACAAACTGGGGTTACACACAAGCAAAGTAAAAATGCATTCAGGTCACACACAGAGAATAACTGAAAAACTTACAGACAAATCTGAGTTTATCACAAACAAATGGCTTAATTGTCTAACCTGTTTTAGGCTGATAAAAAGTGACTGGACTTCTCACACTGGGTTTCACAGACAGAATCAACAGACAAGCCAATGCTAAAAAACTTGAAGCAAGGAGAGTGAGCTGGTTTGGTTCTGGATTTTCTTGAAATAATGAAAACAGAAAGAGTGAAGACAGCATGGCGAGGAGGTGGTAGGTACTCACGAATGGTTAAATCCATCACTTGGGAGGCCAAGCAGAAGACAGGATGCTCATACATTTCTCTCTTTTTCCCTATAAAAGAGGATTTGGGCATGCAAGAGGCTTAGGTCAGAGGTAAAGAGGTTAAAGGTCACAGGTTAGAGGAAAATGTTACATTAGCTCAAAGGAAAATAGCCACAGAGTATTTTGGGATAAACATAGGGTAAAAGAAAAGGGAGTTTCAAAACTGGAGGTCTACTGGATTAACCATTCAGCATGCCATGAGTCACGAGAGAGATTGTGACCATGATTTTACACGTTTCTTTAGAATTGTTTGCAAGAAAACAATGACCAAAAACATCATGAGTAAAGGGAAACAGAGTTTCATTGATTTAAGGCTCCAAGATACTAAGGATTTCAGACTTTAGTATCTAAGGCTCTTGAGGTATTTCTTCATAAACATAGTCTCCAGCAATATTACTACAACTTCTTTCCAAAATTCTCAGGGAACTAAGCTGTTAATTCTCATAAAGGGGCTCAAATGTAAAAATGGGAGCTTTCTTTTCTGCATGTAGGATCAGAACCTTGTAAAAGAAAGTTGTCTGGTAGTAATACCTTTAAAGCTGCAATGTCTCAGCCTACAGTGGACTATGTTCATGAAAGAAAACCTGATACATGCAGCCAGAGGATGTTGGGTTGTCTGAATTAACAATCCCAGCATGCTTTGAAATTGGTGTCACAGCCACTTTTGCAGAGATAAAGTCAAAAAGTGGCTGAGCCAATCACGGACAAGGAAGGAGAGAAGCAGAAGAGAGCAGGTAGTGTGGAATGAGGTACTTCTCTGAAAAGAGAGTTGGAAAAAAAAGATTGGTTTCTTCAAAGACTCCCCAGACCTAAAAGTCACAGTGCAAAAGATAATTAACACAACCAAGAAGAATTGAGGCACAAAAGGAAATTACAGATCAGCTGATCTACTTTGGAAATGAATGCATTTTTACTTACAGATCTTAAAGTTTGTTTTTGGATATATTTATCTGAAAGAAGAGAGCAGATCTTACCAAAGGACTAGTAATAGCTAGACCAAGACCTATGAGGCAGCCACCATGGCAACAGAACGTTTCTTGATCCCACTCCATCTCTGGCTTTGCCTAGAATTATTAGGTACCCAGTTAACGTTACCAAATACAACCAATCATTCTGTTCGGGGAAGGTAAATGCTGGAACAATCATTTGCTAATATAGCCCTTTAACGATCTCCTTGTTCCTCTATTTTTGTCACTCATTACCAAGTCAAGAGTTGATAAACATCCTTTTAGTGCCCAATTCTTAAGTGTTTCTCCCTGGATGCATAACAATGAATTCATTACCACTGGTACACAATTTGCATTGTCAGACAGACAAAATTGAGAGAGAGAGGACATGTAATGTACAGAACACTGCGATTTGACATGGTGTCAACCTAATTCTCTTAGGAAACAAGGACTTTGGTGGGGTAAGTGATGGGGGTTTGGTGGTTGGTTAAGTTTTGTTTGTTTGTTTGTTTTTCCCCAGTCATGTCCTGAAAGCAGACATGGGCATTTGCTAGTTTTAGTCAGGTGCTTCACATGTGAGAGAACATCAGATTCCAGAATGCGGACACACTGAGTTTTGCACACAGAACTTCCACATGTATACACTTACACCACTGGTCAAGTTGGGTGTGGTTTTCAAATCACCCTATAGCAGCCAACAGGGTAACAATGAAAAGTGATTAATACCTTTGCAAATGAATAGGTCCCAAAGAACCATATTTTCTCAAGTAGAATTTATTCAAAGTGCCTTTCAGGTGAGTACTTGGTGGTCAGTGACCACTTCCCTAAAACTTGAGTGGGCTGTGGCAATAACCATCTTAGGTCTGGAGTAACTAGAATGAATGAGATCTAAAGCAAACCAGGACCCATCAGAGACAGTTGGAACCTAACCTGCCATCATATTTGAAACACTACCAAAAGACAAGGTACTTTCAAGGGGCGAGAAAGAGTTAAGCAAAATCTTAATGTTGCTTTATTCAATTCTTGTTTTACTTCCAAAGCTATCAACAGTAGACGCCAAACTGCTTTGTTTCCCATATTTAAAGAAAGTACAATCCTACAGAACTCTTTCACAGGGAAGGATTAGCCCCAGAGCAAACTCAGGGCCAACACAGACTCTCAGAAGGATGTTACTTATCTGATAGCATCCTATGTGCAATATTCTTCCCCTACAAAGACTATTTTCTGAGCTCCTGGTCTTTAGTTCATTGATTTGGCCACAGCCAGGGAAGCTTTCACATTTCAAGTGATTTCAAGTTTCAGCTTAACCTATTCAGATGGACCACTATTTTCTGGTGTCAGTCAGAAAAGACAGACACTTCCCCAGGGAGGCATAAGAAAATTTACATTAAAAATTAAGGATGGAAGAGAGTCTTACCTTCAATTTTGGCATACTCTGATAGCCGAGAATAGTTGACTAAAGCAGCCTGCTCTAGACATTTACGAATGACTGTTTTTACCTCTTCTTGTGGCACTGGGGTAACGATATCTTTCATCAAAACCTTTAGGTGGAAAAAAAAATTATTCAGGTGGTTCAACCAGATGTGTTACTCATTTATACTTGTTAAAGAGTTCAAGTTTAAAGTTAGTTGTGAATGACTTAATACTGATTAAGATCCATCTTTAAAGAGAAAACACAGAATTGTAATATACAGTTAGGATGGCAAAGCCTGTTCATGCAACAGGGAAGGACCAGGAGCCATATCTTCAATATTTGCTAACTATTTGGAGTCTGGAAAGAAAATATTTGGAATTTTGGCAGTTTCCTCATGTTTATTCTGATATTTGGTGAATGGTAAACAAAGCCTGAAAAAAAATTACAAAGTGGGTCAATTCAACCATGGTGTTTCATTACAATTACGTGCATGTCTCTGTATGTATGTAATCTGCCTTTCACTTTCAATCTTACCCTTTCCAAGAGTGAGAGAGTAGCTTTTAAAGCACCTTCAGGTCGACCAAATGGAAAGCAATACCTAAAAAAGACAGAAAACTTCTTCAGGTTGCCCAGATATGTTACATTTTAGCATGAAGTATGCTGCACTTTGATTCCTATAGCAACTCTCTGAGGAACAGGAAATGCATTTTTATTTTGTCACATTGTGTTATGTTAATCTGAATTCACACCATATATATGTGTATATAATGTATATATGTGTATGTGTGAATAATGACTAAAGACAGACTCTGCAAATGTCTGCAGCAGAAAAGAATATTTAGAGTGATGACATAGGCTCTGTTTAGATTTCTATTGTGAAGGAGAACCATTTGTTGCTCAAAGGTGACCTTATAAATTATGATAGAGACCAGCATTAAAAAAATATTAGTTGAAAAGGTTAAAATCCAAACACACTTAGTTATATCCTCAAAGGATTAATATAGGAAATAAAGGAGTGTATTTTGAGCAAATCCATGATTCTGCTAATCGTCCTTCTTTGACTGTGGTTTTTAATTGTTATTTGATCTTTTTGTTATTGGCAAGATGTCTTGCATTCAGTATATAATCAATAAGGATTTGTCCAGGAGAATTCTGAGAGCACAGACAGAGCTATGCTAGGTACCACTAAGGGCTCCATTGACCATTTCAGGCTGTCCAGCCCTTCGGGACACTGTTCTTCATGGAACAAAGGGACCAGCAGAGGCTAAACTTGGACTATCCTATGCGCACGTCCTACGTCTTCTACTTGCCAGTGGGGTGACCTACGGCAAGCTCCTTAACACTCTCAGCCTCAGTTTACGCCTTGTTTAAATGGGGGTTATAATAAGCATCTTAGAGAATGGTTCTGACAATAAAAAAATGAGTTAATGCTTATCCAGCCTGTATTCCTGTACCTGACACATAGGCAGTGTTTAACAAAAAGGAACTGTTATGCTATTATAAATGTAATTACTATTTTTGAGTTACTATTTCAGGATCTCTGGTCCAGAGCCACCAGTGTAGCATTAGAAACGTCTAATTGGCTCCAAGGGAAAAGTGAGCTATGTGTTACAAGGTGTAAGCGTTGGACCTGCTGGCTGTCTTGAGTGTGCGGGGAGGACTCCGTCTGCCAAAGCTGATCCAAGTCTCTTTCTTTACCTGCCCAGTCAGCCAGCCCTGTTTCTGAGGCAAAGGGGAAGGTAGAGGCTCTCCAGGGGGCACCACTGCCTTCCTTCCCTGTTCATGTGCTCTGATTCACAGGATTTTCCACTGTTTTATTTAGAAAACTTACAGAAATTTCAAATACAACTTAATAGATTTTTTACAAAATAGATTGATGACCAGGGTCAGCTTGCACAAGGAAGACTTTATTATTTTAATGGAAATAAAACGAACTTAAGACTTCAAAGTCTCTTGGCTATTGTGGAACCCTGTTGGTTTGTTTTCCTGTTCAGTTATTTATACCCAGTGTGTTGCTGATAGATTTACTGATTTAGAAAATCAAGACCTTTATTTGCCCATCCCCAGTGTCATCCTCCTAATAAGCCCCTCCACCCCAGATCCTTACCTAAAATGTGTAATCTGATTTTCCAACAGAACTCGGAGTCTCTCTTTGATTTCTTCAAAACGTTCCTTTTCTTCCACCGTCACAGTTCCAATTCCATCGGGCCTAAAAGAAGACACGGCATGAAGTGATGGGAACCTCACGTACAAACACCACCAAATCAAATCTCTAGCAGGAGGAAACTGGCCATTTTAGAACAATAACTACAGTGATCAGTGTGACCTTAAGAGAAGTTCCGCTTTTCAGTGCTTGCTACTAAAGGGGACGGGGTGCTTTAGGGTTACCGTACGGAGACATTTGCAAAACTATCTCTCGTCTATTGTGAAACGGTAAAATGTACAAACTGGTGGCTTGAAGGTCCAGTTTCTGGACCTGCTATTTGGATCACAGCTTTAAAAATTTTAAATTACTTGCCAGCATTTTAAAAATTAGGAATGTTTTATAATTCTCTTGAAAATGTGAAACAACTGACGTTAATTGGCGAGTGCCAACTAACAGCTTATTCCCTAGCTGGGGCAGGCATTCACCAGGTCCACATCTCTAATTTGCATCACCTGTCTCTCTTGTAGGCACTTAGATCTGGGACACATTAATTACATACACAAATACCTATGAAAACCAGCGGCCTTACAACTGTCTGTCTTTTTCAGTACTAAGTGTTCTTAAATGACTCAGTTTCTACCTTATAATTATAGATGTTCAGATTAATTTATGCACTCATGTATTAAATGACAACAAATTATAAGATGTTGCTGAAAGAAACTGAAGAAAACACAAATAAATGGAAAGATATTCCCTGCTCATGGATTGGAAAAATTAATATTGTTAAAATGTCATACTGTCCCAAGCCATCTATAGATTCAATGCAATCCCTACCAAAATTCCAGTGCCATTTTTCATAGAAATAGAAAAAACAATCCTAAAATTCACGCGGAACTACAAAAGGCCCAAAGAGTCAAAGCAATCCTGAGAAAGAAGAGCGAGGTTGGAGGCATCACAATTCTTGGTTTGAACTTTATTACAAAGCTATAGCAATCAAAACAGTAGAGTACTGGCATCAAAACAGATGCACTAACCAATGTTACAGAATTGAGAGGCCAGAAATAAACCTTTGTATATACAGTCAAGTAATATTTGACAGCAAGTCCAAAAATACTCAATGGGGAGAGGATAGTCTCTTCAATAAGTGGCATCTGAGAAAACCGGATGGTCACATGCAAAAGAATGAAACTGGACTCCTATGTTACACCGCTCACAACAATGAATTCAAAATGGATTAAAGACTTAAATGTTAGGTCTTATACTGTAAAAATCCTAGAAGAAAACATAGGGAAAAAGCTCTTTGACATTGGTCTTGGCAACCATTCTTTTTGGATATTATACTAACAGCTCAAACAACAAAAGCAAAAAGCAACAAATGGAACTGTATCAAACTAAAAAGCTTTTGCATAGCAAAATAAACAATCAGCAAAATAAAAAGGCAATTTACAGAATGAGAGAAAGTACTGTGAACCATCTATCTGATGAGGAATTAATATCCAAACTATAAAAGGAACTCATAACACTCAATAGCAAACCCCCAAACAATTTCATTAAAAAATGGGCAGAAGATCTGAATATTTTTTCCACAGATAGACAAATGCCCAACAAGTACAAGAAAAGATGCTCAACATCATTAATCATTAGGAAAATGCAAATCAAAACCACAGTGAGGTATCACCTCACATCTATTAGAATGTCTACCATCAAAAAGACAAGTGTTGGTGAGACTATGAGAAAAGGGAACACTTGTGCACTGTTGGTGGGAGTGTAAACTGGTGTAGTCATTATGGAAAATAGTGCAGAGGTTGCCTAAAAATTAAAAGTAGAATTACCATTTGATCCAGCAATCACTTTTCTAAGGAAAAGGAAATTGCTATCTTGAAGATATATTTGACCCTCATGTTCATTGCTGCACTATTTACAATAGCCAACTGAAACAACCTAAGTGCCCATTAGCAGATGACTGCATAAAGGAAATGAATGGATACATGAAGTGAAAGGAATATATGTGATGGACTATTGTTCAGCCATAAAAGGAAGGAAATCCTGCCTTTTGCAACAACATGGATGGACCAAGAGGGCATTATGCTGAGTGAAATAGGTCAGAGATGTATGCTGCCACTTATATGTAAAATCTGAAAAAGGTGAACTCATAGAAACAGAATAAAATGATATCTGTCAGGGCCTGAAGGGTGATGGAAATGAGGAAGATGTTGACCCAAAGGTTACAAACTTCCAGGTGTAAGATGAATAAATGAGATGAATAATGTGCAGCATGGTGACTATAAAGAATAGTATTGTATTTATATATTTGAAAGTGGTTAAGAGAGTAGATCTTAAGGGTTACCACCACATACGCACAAAATGGTAACTATGCAAAGGGATGCAGATGTTAATTAACCTTATCGTGGCAATGATTTCACAATATATATGTGTATCAAGTCATCATGTTGTATACCTTCAACTCGCACATACTACATGTCAATATCTCAATAAAGCTGGAAAAAAGAGAACAAGCTATATAGGCTGTTTTCCCATCTTAGCAAGCTATTGCTCCTTTTAATAAAAAGAAGGACTTCAGCATAAATAAATGAATCTCAGTTGAATTACAGTATTCTCATGTTTCTAAATCACTGCTAGGTTCATGCACAGTTTCCCTATTTGCTTTGGGCCAATCATGTTGAAAATACAAAGGAGGGCTGCATATGTATAGCCCAAGTTTATCTGTATCAAATTAGACGTAGGATAATCTGACCCATTAAAAGACTTCAGCTTCCCAAATTCTGTAGTGACTTGTTTTGACTACTGGCTGAGCCAGTTTGCAGATTGGTGTGTTACCATGAAACTTCTATTGGAACATTCTTCAGTTTGCAAATGCAAGTCATCTCGAGACCAAACAAATGGTCTTATTTATAGGCCTTCTCAAGGATCCAGCATAAGTTGGGAAAATCCTGTGTACTAGACCAGTCTGACTGCACAAAGACTTGGCAAATGATAGCAATGTACCTCCTGTTAGGGGTTAATTGGTCAGCTTCTCTTCATTTTAAACACTAAAAATGCCTTGCTTGAAAATATTTTTAAAAGTCCCCTCCCCAACTTTACAAAAAATACCCCTAAACAGTGAAATCCTGTAAAGGCCATTTCTTCACGTTCTCCTGAACTTAAAGGAAAAAAGAAAGCAAAAGGTAAATATCAGGTAGGTTGTTGCAATCTGTGAACATGCCCTTATTCTTACATTTTCTGGAAAAACCTCAGATGTTAATTTACAAAGTTTATTTGAAAAAAAAAAAATTAACATGAAATGTTCATGAATCTGTAGTTAAATCTCAGGATGAATTCATTGGCTCCCACAAAAATACATGTGACACTTTCTGTGGTAACTTCTCATGTTTCTGTTATAATCTACAACTTCCTTTAGCTGTGGCTTTTAGATTTGTTTACACAAAATTCAGCTTGCCAATGCACTGAACACATTTACATGACTGGTATGTGCATGCACACACTCGATTTGGGAAAAAGGGAGCCATTTTAAGCATTCTATTTCTTAGCAGGGAATCAACCCAGAGAAAAATGCTATTAAATATCATTTAAAATTCAGAGAGGAGTTTATAGATCACAGAGAAAAGCATGGAAACCATTTAACATGGGCAGCCCAGAGATGTCTGAAGCCATTGTAAGGAGAGAAACCTCTCTGAAGAAAATAATTCCTTTCTTAGGCAATTAGATAATTGGAAGGCAACTTTTAGACTTGTGCCTGTTGTGATAAAAATTAAACATTTAGTGTGTGCCTGACCTTCTCAGCTGATCCTCATTACAAAGGTATTACTATATATGTAAATTTTGATTATGTTTTCTTTCATTTTGTTCTGATGATTCACATTTGTAACTATAAAAGTGTCAATAGCAGCTTCTGCTTACCTGACAACCTCTTCTTGGACTACTTTCTGAATACTGTTAACATCACTATTCAAAAAAAGTAAATGACTAAAAATCACTGTTGTAGGCTTTTCCTAAATTTTCTTCTTAATTGCCTATGTCAGTTAAATAGGTTTGTTTTAAAATAAATGAAACAACTATACATCTGTAAGGCATGTGATACAGAGTTCAGCAACAAAAACAGGTGTTAAAAAAAATTGCAATTTGACATCAAATGCAAAGTAATTTATAATTGCCAGAATTGCTCTGAAATGGTCTGGGTAAGAGGGGATGCTATTTTGTAAACTGGGAAGACAAGCAGAAAAAATACAATTTGTCAAAGATCACAGGTTGTACTTATATCAGTTAAAAAATATCCTTTCTTTGTTTGATTTCACCTAATTATGTTTTGAAATTCTGTCAAACATTAATTTCTTTTCTATTGACCCCTATAATTAGTCAATGCTAATTGCACAGGTTTAGACAGATTTTTATGGAGCTACTGACTGAAAAATCCTGATTCAGTATTTTGGGGAACACTGTTCCCATAGAAGCAAGAAAATACTTTTCCTAGAGCAATGATTCTCAAATGGGAGCATACCTCAGGCTCACCTGGAGGTCTTGCTTTGACCCAGGTTGCCGGACCCTACCCCAAGAATTTCTGATTAGTAGATTTGGGGTGGGGCCTAAGAATTTGCATTTCTAACACATTCTCTGGTGCTGCTATTTGGGGGACCACACTTTGAGAATTTCTGCCCTAGAACAAAAAACTATTTGGTGGGTAGTTTTCCAGTGGCTGAAAGGGCCTGTTTGCTTCAGAGTTCCCAATTTCCCTTGGGTTGGGTTGAACTTGGAATCAGAGATCTTCTCCAAGTATGTGGTCCTCTTATAAAGCTAGCAATCCCTCCCAAAAGTGGTATTTGCACTGTTTCCAGGGTGCCTGCCATTCCAAGCAGAGCTGGTTACAAAATAAATAGAACTATACTGGGGTCTCTCAGTGGCCATGCTTTTTCTTTTTTTCTGGAAACATTTGGGGGTGATTCTATTATTGCCATAACACGGGCTCTCCATCTTGTTTCTTTCTCAATACTTTTAACAGTTAAGAAATCACAAAGAATGAGGTGGTTGGGAGGGAATGAAGCTTGTAG